GGACGACCCACTAAACTACTTTGGCTCGCAACAGGGACGAATGAAGTTGTTACGGGCGCTGGCTCGAGCAAATCGATGATCAACGAGACAACAGATGATACCAGTTGTCGATGATAGATCAGGGTATTGCGCTCTTGTGAACACGTTGGTCGCAGGTAGTTAGAACGAGTTGGGTGCTCTCGCGCGACAATTTGTACGAGTTGCCCTGCCCTGGCAAATATTATTGTGACTGATTCATGGCGCAATCCCTACCTAAGGAGAATCTCAGGATCTCAGACTTCTAAATGAATCGGACACGAGGAACAAGAGCGATTAGTGCTAACCAACTCGGACATTCTCTTCACGGAAAAAATGGAGTCTCCCAATCAAACATGAACCCTGATCAGATAATCCAGTCACTGTGGACGGGTTCATGGCGCATTCCTTTAAGATCTGCTTGACGACGACATCTTTAAAAAGTTGGAAAAAACTCTATCTTACAGGTGATCTATGAGTTGTCCAGCACGCCCCCGCCTACGACTATTAAAGAAGGCCCCTCCTCCCTTGCGGTAAGCTGCTGAGGCGTGTGCGGGTTTCGCTTTCAGACGTCGTTCCTTCAGTGCTGTTGATGGGTCGACTACTGATCACCGTTATCGTCAGTGCTTCTGGTGTAACTATCACTGCCTCGTTGATATGTTTACTACTCGTTGTACACGATATCAATACCATCTACGATGATGTTATCAGCGAAGTCAATGAGTTTCAAGTACGGTATTTATCGATTTTTTTCAGCGATTACTGTAATATTCCTTTGAAGTATATTCTTCCAAGAGGCTTTCAACCAACCCAACGCCCAACTCTTTCCTCGCAATAATTACCCGTCCGCTAGGCCGATTAGCTACGCTGAAAAGCTGCCGCTTTCGATCCTCCCAGGATGAATACCCCAGAGGATATGCATATACGTCATGTTCCCTTAGGAAATGGCCAAACTGGGTAGGAGTTGGCTCCCAGGCCTTTCTAAAATCATAGTCGTGGGTGCATTAACTCAAGCTACACTCTTTGCTCTAGTTCAGCGTACAGAATGGGTTGAATTAGAGTTCTAACCAGACCGACCCAGATGAAAGGACGGAGCTAGTTGAAACTGGACTGAACCAGTTGATGGGAGGTTGGTACCACCATGGAAGGACAAAAACTTTGACTGACTGGCAGTGAGCTGGTCACCTACAGATCACTGAATGTCGAGCCAAATACGCATTCCTCCACGGTTCTGAATGATAGCCTATTGTAGGAGTAAGATAACCCTTTCTCTATTACTGCACAGATTTGGTTGGGCACGAGATTTAACTAGATCGACCCAGATGAAAGGACGGAGCTAGTTGAAACTGGACTGAACCAATTGATGGGAGGTTGGTACCACCATGGAAGTATAAAAACTTTGACTGACACGCACTGAGCTGGTCTCTCACAGATCACTGTACGTCGAGCCAAATACGCGTTCCTCCCGATTCTGAATGATAACCAAATGTGGGAATGCACGCTGGAGATTGAACTAGACCGACCTAGATGAAACGACGGAGCTAGTTGAAATGGGACCGATCCAGTCGATGGGAGGGGTACCACACCGTCTTCGTGGAAAAGGGTAATATTTGTTAGTAAAGTCAATTTTGAAGGCCGTAAATACACAAACCGCTCATTTCGGTAAGGGAGGGTATCCAGGAGGTAAGGAAACCCAGTTGATTAATGACTACCAATTTCTAGCGATTGCTATATATCGGCACTTTAGGCACAAAGTATCAGAGCGATCTGGAAGTTTCTAGACGGCATAATAGCCTAGAGCCTAGTTAATTATCTGACCCATACGGCATGGTTTTCATTAAGCTCATAGCATGATTGTCCTACATATAGTAGCTTAGAACAAGATTGTTCCAATACAATGAACAGCAGACATAATCATTAGCGTCTCAGCCGGCCTCCAGTAGGCGTTTACGGCAGCAATAACTTCTAATGTGACGTTTTTGCCCAGAAAATAGAACACTGTATAAGATTGAAACACTTCAATGGAGGCTAGTTGCTGAACACTCTTTTGTGCTGTTTTGTGTCTTTGGACAAGCTTGAACGATACCACTGAATCTCGAGGGCGAGATGGTTTATAGTCATTAATGACTATAAATCATAATTTTATGATTAGCGCCGATCCACAATCCAAGAGCGGCGAAAAGAGGCAAGACAAGACATCATAAGGACTCGAACCCTCAGAAAGCACTCCACCCTGACCCCCCTCCACCTTTGACTGTCATTCAGAATCGCTGTGGAACATGACTTCGTGGGATCCGAATCTACGAAAGGTGGTTCCACCACTAGGCTTCTAGTGAAGCGTTCAACTAGTCGAGGATGATGGGGAAGTTTAAGACCATTTCAAACCAGTTAGGGATCCCGAACGTCGAGGTTTCGCGGTGGCAAATAGCTCGACAGCCGGATTGATTGATGTAAGATCTGTGCGGGCGCTTACCCCATAAAAGCCTAAACGATAAAGTCTCGGGCGTTAATCCATCCCGTCTGAGGGACGCGCCCCCACATCAGACTCCCATTAAGAATCGTAGTGGCATATTGAAGGGCCTATACATTGATTGCGGTGGCCAGCCGATGTACAAGTCAGTGTTTTTATCCTCCCAGACAAGTCAGGTACCAATTAACTGATCCCGGAGGGAGGAAAGGCTTGGTTGGCCTAGGAGGATATCATTCCAGGACTCAAACCCTTGGCTATGCGTGTATGAAGTGCGCCACTTGCCACTGCATCACATCCGCCATAGCTTACCCGATGATTTCTATGATTCTCCGCAGAAATTGTAGGTACAGAGCATTCTGAAAAACAGGTCACCCCACTTGAAATCGGAGGGATAGAAATCATTAGATGGTAATGAAATGGGTAAGCATGGTGCCCAGGAAGAGTAACAACGTGTTCAAGTTCACGCCAAGTCTGAACTCAACAGCTGGGCGAATTTAGTGCTCACCCCTTTCTCTGAAGGATCCCCCTGGGTGGCTCAGAGCCTTTTACTACAAATCTTCAATTCAGAATTCTCACAATTTCTCTTTGTCAATGTTTCCATTCATATTTTCTCAATATTTCAGGAGTATGCGAATCAAGCTTGGCAGATAATGATGGAAAGTGCGGCGGAAGCCCCAGTAGCAAAACGCTCTGTCGACCAAAGGAGAGCACCTAGAAAAATCACTGCGGCCGACGGAGATGAATGCCCCCATGGACCTCCAGGCCCCATTGGAAAACCGGGAGCAGCTGGAGCAGATGGAGAAAAAGGCCGAAAAGGGTATCCAGGATCACCGGCACCTCCTTGTTTGAAGTACAAATGGGAGCGTTGCATTAGCTGCCCATACGGTCCACCAGGACCACCCGGGCCAGAAGGACAACGGGGACTCCCAGGACGACCAGGAAACGACGGTCGCATGGGTACCTACGGTAGACACGGTCCACCTGGCCCGATCGGTCCACCGGGACCTCAAGGCGCTCCCGGCATGCCCGGTATGCCAGGATGGCACGGTGTCCCAGGTCGAAATGCCCAGGCTGGAAAAGGAAGACGCGGACCACCTGGAATGATTGGTGAAGAAGGGCCAACAGGTATGGAAGGTATGCGAGGGGAGCCAGGTGCAGATGGGAACCCGGGACTACCTGGAGCTATGGGAAATGCTGGTTTTCCGGGTACACCCGGTCCAAACGGAGTCAATGGAGTCCCGGGGCCGAAGGGATTTCCCGGTCACGACGGGACTTATTGTCCATGTCCGACACGTTCTATGCGGTATGGATCGGAACGCACACATGACGATGACGATGACAACGATGATGATGATGATGATGATCGGGACAGGGTAAAGATCAAGCTACGTGGTAAAATATAAAACAGCCATATGTAAACATATGTACAGTTGTTTGTATGTTAGAATAAAATATAAATAATTAGGTTTGTTTACTAGTTTACAGCTTCATTGTCATTGTTTTCGCTCAAATTGTTGTAAGATAAATCTTCCCTCATTCGATTGTTCACGACGCTTTCCACTCCAGTAGCCTTACTTCGTGGGGACGGGTGGGTTATCATTATATGACTCATGGATCGAGTTCCGATCGAGCCAATAATGTCTTCTTTCTGATTCATGAGATGGCCTCGTTGTAACAACTGGGTCTGGGAAGGTAGAAATGCTGTCCTCAACATTGGATGCCTTCTGGAAGATCCTATGCTGACTGTCATTAAAGCTGGATAAAAAAGGATAAAGTCTTGGGGCGTTGATCAATCCTATCTCAGGGATGCGCCCGGCATTCGACTTCCATTCAGAATCGTAGTGGCATATTGAATGCGTATGTGGCCTGGACAATGACTTGCGGTGGCCAGCCGATGTACAAGTCAGTGC